TCCTTCTCATCTGATCACTGCAGGGTGCTACCTCTCCTGGCTTTGCTGTACTTCAGGCAATGCCTGTCAGAAGTGGAGAACTCATTTGAAGCCAGCATAGCAACAGTCCTCCACATGCCCTTGGACTGTAGATGCTTACCCCCCTTCCGGCCCTGCTGGCAGTGGGGCTGGAGGCTTGCCTACCATAGTGCTCTGGGAGCGCTCCCTTGTCATATCTGAAGTGAACACACAGCAGCACTACAGTCAGTGACGTTTGCAAGCACTTGAGGTAAAAGTGTTTGGAGAAATAGCCAGACTTTCAGAACATGCCAAGTACATGTAACTTAACAAAACCTTTCTGTTTTGGGAACCAGGCAAGGCTGAGGTGGTGAAAAATAATGGGAGCAGCTGTCTGTGGGACAGGAAAGAGAAATGTGTAGTAGAAAGACTTACAGACTCTACAGCTTTTTTCTTCTTCTTTCCTCTAGTTCTCTCCTCACTGGCTTTCATAGAACTTGCATCAGGGCACAGAGTGCTTCATTTGTAGTTCAAGAGCGTAACCCACGCTGTTTCTCTGAAACGAAGAATGAAAGTTGACCCTCTAGAATAAGGCTTCAGTGGCACAGGGAGGCTCTCAGCTTGGCATAGACTCTTTTCCTCCTCATCACTAATGTCCCTCCACCCTTTGCTGATGTTTCCCAGCCTGTTAAAATAGTTGACCTCATTGTCATCTCTAGGTTCCCACATCTGGTTCTCGTTATGAGATCCCAGGATGCAGTTCAAGTTGCTCCCTTCCTTCCACCCCCAGGTGACCCAGGCAGGATTATGGGTGATTAGAAGACAGGCAACAGAGCAAGAATAGGTGGGGGAGGGACTGTTATAAATAGAAGTACCATAAACTTATCAGCCTATCACTCGAGGTAAATTCTGGTTTTAATCTCTCAGACCTGTAAATATGATGACTTGCAGGGGCCCGGCACTGTTAACTCTTTCAGAGCCCTGCAGCCTTGAAGCCATGTGTCCATCTCTGACAAGAAATAGGATGTGGTGGAGGGCCTGAGGGCTTGGAGGTGCCTGAAGATGGGGCTGGGAGCAAGTTCCTGAACCAAGAGGATGTTTTGGCCAATTATGTAGAGGCACAGAGTCACAAGGAGGGATGAGATTGCAAAGCCAGACCATCAGAGTCGGGGGGGGGGGGGAGGAGAAAGTGGTGCTGGAAGCACCTCTGTTTGGATGTTGATCATATTTGGAAGTTTAGGGAAGACAGAGAAAACCAGTCCAAACATTGGGATTCCTGGCATTCTCACACATACAGAGGCCTCCCCTCACCCAGCTCCATTTGTAAGCAGGGTGTTGGAGATGTAATATTTTCTTTTTCTTCATCAGGGTTTACTTTTGGGGATCTCCTCAAACCTCTTGTGGGGAGGGGTTAGAAAGTGAGGCACAGGAAGGGGGGGACATGATATGAGGTGCAAGGTGGTGAATTGGGACACTGAGTGGAGACATTGAGAGGGAGGTGAAAAGAGGTTGTTCAAAGTGTTAAAGGATGCACGGAAACTTTGGAGAGGCTTTGAATCCCAGGCCAAAAGAGTTATGCCTTGGGTATAACAAGGTGAAGGCAGGACAAGGGACCTGGCAGGTTAGAAAGTTTCTTTGCAGCCACTCTCACTGAAGGAGTAGTGAAATAGAAGGTTGTGCTGGAAGAGTTTGGGCTGAGAAGTCTCTCCATGCTTATACAGGAAGGCTAGCACGTTGAAAGCAGGGCAATATAGTGTGGCTGAATTACTTGGCAGTGGTACCCTCCTCCCCTGGGTTGCTTACTGTGTGCAGAAAGTGCTAATAAGCTGGTTCACAGAAAGCTGCTCTTTGGGCAACTCTTTGGGGGGGCCTGCAGCACCTCTCCAGGCTTGCCGCTCTGGGATGGAAGGCAGAATTTGGCCTGTGCTTTGGGGACATTAAAGGAGTTATGGGCAACAAGCACTCTATTATATTCTTTGGAGCAAGCGCTGATACAGAGGCAGGGCCATAGCTGGGGGATGCGGTGTTACCATTTCGCCTGTTCTTCCTCACAGAGAGAGAGGGCAAAGGCAGAACAATAGCAGCATGGGAGAGTTCGGTGCCTCCTTGAGCTCCATCTCTGTTTTGCTGGGACTTGGAGATGTGTGAGTCTCTCCTGTGTGGAACTGTGTGGGTGTTAAGCTTTCCAGGGTCCCTATTTTGTGGCTTCCAGCTCCCTCTTAATCCCCACTGTGGAGGGGGAGGGGCATTGTTAGTGTCATTAGGAGCTCGTGACTCTAAGGAGAAGTATTAGCTTTTAATTAATCACCTAAGCTGGCTTTCGGTAAGAGCCCCTACTGAATGGAAGCTATAGGCCATAGGATGCTCCTCAGGGCCAGCCGCAGGCATTCCCAAGATACTTTCTGCCCAGGGAGATGAGCAAGGACCCTGGGAGGGCTGGACCAAGGGCAGACACCTGAGGGGAAGAGAGTCCTCAGATGCCAAAATAGATTAAAAGGAGCAAGGAAAAAGCAAGCTGAACCCCTGACTTCCTCACGTTTCTTTGTAGCTGGCTCAAGTGCACCTGGCCGCAGCCTAAGGAAAGTCCTTTATTTTTAGTAGGTAGCCCCCCACGTCCCCCTTCCTCCCCCCCTTGCACAACCAGAAGCCAGCCCCCCTCCTGCAACTGTTATCAACTCTGCTGCAGATCCAGAGCTGTTCACCTGACACACCTTTCACGTCAGGGTGCTTATCTCACCCTTTGCTTGAGTCTCAATTGAGTTTTTCTGAAGGTGACTTTTAAGACAAGGTAGCAAAGAAAAAGGGAAGTCCAGTGCCACTTAGGTTTATGGGGGGCCTTCTGTCCTTTCTGGAAAGGCCCTGGACTCCTTTTCCCCAATAGAGAAACTTCTGGAGTTTAGAGGTGTGAAGGTCTATGGAAACCCTCTGGGGTCAGATATCTGGAGATCTCTTCCTGGACAGGTTCAGTAGTTTGTGGAAAGGCAACAAAACTGGTAAACTACCCTTTTTGCTTTTGTGAACCTGGGTCCCAATCCTGGAGCCTGGGGTGAAGATGGAGTTTTCTGATAGTGTTTGTTGTGGATGCTTGCCAAACACATCATGTGGTCTCTCTTTGGCCAAGAGTGAGGCAGAAGAGAGGAGGAGAGTGCTCACCACCTGGCAGAATGATTTTGGCTGATGTTGAGGGGTAGTAGAGGGGAGGTCGAGGAGCTGCTGCTTCAAAAAGAGATGCCTGGGTAGTAAAGTTCAGAAGTGGGATATAGCAGAGAGAGGCTGGGCCCTAGGGGCTGAGCGAGGGAAGCATGTGCCCGTGGTGCTGGCCCTCAGTTAACTCTTCCAGTCAAACATTACTCAAAGTAGCACACAGGCAGTTGCTGCCACATCACTGCAACCTCAGGGGGGCGAGAAGACAAGGTTATCATGAAGGAATGACCCCTGCGCTGGCCCTGTGGTCTGTGACTGTATGGGGGAGTTGTTGGCTCACCTCAGGAACTCTCAGGCTCTGCTTCTGGCTGGCCAGAGTACTGGTCTGCCAGCTATGTTGCATGTCTGTCTGCTAGATGCTTCCTTCTGTAGCAAGTGTTAGCATGGGAGCAGTGTCACCTCCTTCTTCCCCAAATTCCTAAGCTCTGCCACTGAGGTGTGTGGTACACAAAGGGTTAGGTGCCTTTCAAGGGAACAGCTATCCAGGTTTTTCTCTCTAGCCCGGGTTACTAAGGGAAAGATCCCCCCATCCACACTCACACCCTGTCCGTTTGGCAGAATTCCTAGCTGGATTTATTTCTGCCGATTTGCTTGTCTTGGTATGAAAGGGATTTGCAGAGGGGAGAGCTCCAATTGGCTGGGTGCAGGCTGAAACCCCTCATTTTCATTTTTGTGGTTCATTGGCTAACCTTTCCCCAGTGCGTGGCCTTTGGAGGGGAGGATGGGGGTCAGTCCTTTGATTGTGTGTGAGCAAGTCTTTTGGGCAAGTGATATTGTTTTAATATGAAGCTTTTGGGCCTTTCAGGAAGGGCCGTCTTCATTATCTGAGCCTAGGGGGAGGGAGCTGGGCCTTCTCTTCCACTTTCTTGGCAGTGTCTTTGGCATTGAGGATTGGCATCAACCCCAGAGGGCTGCAGACTCCCACTTCAGAGAGACAGATAAAGAAAGCACATTCTGTCAACAAAACCCAGCCCAGCTTCCCCAGAACAGAAGAGGGGAGGAGGAGCCCTCTGGGAGAAAGGGGAAGAAAGTCCATTGCTTGCCCACACAGGAGAGGGAAGAGGGAGGAGGGCTCCTGCAGGGATCGGGAGCTGTTCCAGAGCTGTCATGGCAGCAGTGGAGAAATTCCAGCATATTCGGCAAAAGGGAGGCAAGGGTCCAAAGAGAAGGAAACCAGCCTTCCAAAAGAACCTTCAGAGCCCACACGTATGGCCCTGCCACAGGGCCACTGTGGCACTGCACTAATCGTGCTCTCCTATGGCCTGCGAAAGGCAGCTCTTCAATCTGCTCTTAATACTGATGTGACCCTGGTGAGACCAGTGGTTCTTGCAGCTTCTCTAATGGAACCTGTTGCAGGGAACATCAGCCCCAAGTTGGTCCTGGTTGGGCAAGCCCTGGCTCTCGTGCTCTTTGGAGCCACATGCCTGACATAGCTCAGGCCTGACTCCATGACCTCCTTTCTCCCATATATCCTGAGTATGATCCCCAGGAAGCTTGCATGTCCCACAGCCAGAGCTTGGCTCACAGATTACTGTAGACAAGCTCCATCTGGCTGTCCAGCTTCCCAGACTGTGTCGCCACCCTGCCTTGTCCCACATACACTGTCTCTAGTTTTATGCTGGGATGCAGATAGATATGGACAGACAGTACCTCTTGAACTGAAGGATTTGCCAGTCTTCTTGCATCAGCTTCTTGACTCTGAAATGGTCTAGTGTAGGGCTCTAGGTGATTCTAACCTCCAAGGCAAGGACCTTTTGTGTCTTTCTCATGGCTTGTTTCCACTTCCTCTCCCCTTGCAGGTCACGACATTAATGGAGCTTTGGAACCATCTAACATCGACACTAGCATCCTGGAAGAGTACATCAGCAAAGAGGACTCACCAGATATGTAAGTGCTTCCCTGGCTCCACAGCAGGAACAGTGTCCGCTGTTGCTTTCTGTGGAGAGAAGTCAAGCAATTCCCTGTCCTGCAATGTGAGGAATCATTTATAAATTACTGTGTGCCCTGGCTGCACCTCTGTCCCTCTTGAAGTCCTCCTTTAGTGCTCTTTCTTCTCTTATTCATTCCCAGTCCCTCCTCCTATCTCTTCCCTGCTTCATGCCTTTGAATTTGCCCAGTCTCTTAGCCTCTCTCTTCTTTCCCTTCTTCCTCCTGAGGGCACAGAAGAAGACTTTTCCCCAGTTGCTTTGGGCAATGTGAAAGCAAGCATCAGCAGCTCAGTACGAGAGACTGAATCCCCTGCACAACATGTGTATGGAGTAGAAAAGAGTCTACCTTTGCACACTGACATCGGCAGAGTGCCGGGGGTTGGGGGGGGAAGGGAACAGACCTTGGTAGCAGTTTGGGTGATCTGGACCATAGGATGGGAGCAGGATCTTTGGAGCTGATGTGATGAAGCTGCTTGCCTGCACAAGCTGAACCACAGCAAGCAGCAGAGCCTGCTGTGAGAATGGTGTGTTGTATTTGGCAAAGGAAGTGTGCCAGGCTTCAGATAGGATATCCATGTGGAAGGCATGATGACATAATAGGGACCTGAAAGTGTAACAGACAGCACCATGGTGGAGAGATGAAGGGAAATGGGGACTAGCCTTACTGGTGCCTTCTCAAGCTTTGAGGCTGGTGTCCTGCACATTTCTAGCCTTTAAAGCTCCACAGGTAGATTTTGCACCCTTAGGGTTGCGTTGGTCCCACCAATCCAGGCAGCCCCCTGCCTCTCTGCACGTTCCTGCCAGTGCTAGCAGGATGCTTGCTGTTCTGCTCATCTTCTGAGTGCCCTAGTGCACCAGACCGTCTCTGTCCCCATTGCTGCATGGCTGGGGAGGGAAGGGCTGGGTAGCGGGTGGAAAGTGCCATCTGCCTGTACCACTGAGGTTGTCCCCTTCTCTCTCACAGCTGTTTCCCTGACATCCCTGCTTCAACCAGCTATGCACACCCCCAACCCTCCAGCTCAGCCACCATCAATGCGCCTCTTGCCAGCTCCATCACCAATGCTGGGCATGTGACCAACCCTGCTTCCAGCGGTTCCCTCCACCTTCCTCCCCCAGGCAGCCAGCTCCCAATCCGTCATGGTCCTCTTTTGACCAACCCTTGTGGACCCAGCTATGGTGCTCACCTCAACTGCAATAACAACAATGGCATGGTGGTGCCCAAGGGCTACCCTGGTGGCCTCTGCATAAACAACGTGGTCCCTCCAATCAAATCGGAGCCCAAGGCCTCCTATGCACCTGGGTAAGTGAGATTGGGGGAGGCAGAACAAGGGCAAATAATGGGCCAGGCCTTCCTCTGAGGCTGATGGGGCCTGGAGGTTATTTTTCACACAGTACCCTAAAGGCTGACAACATCAGTCTATATTAAGTCCTTGCTTCACAAAGAGATGTTTTTTATGAGTGTAAGTCCTGAAGTTCCAGAAAGGTTGTTCACAGTTTTGATCTTACCTGTATGCACTGGATAAGCGAGAATCAAAAGCATCCCATATATCAGCAGGTGGTGTTAGAACAATGGCTTTGGATGGTAAGGATAGTCATGCTGTACACCTCCCAGTGTGTGATGGGAGAACATTTTGTTATTTTTTTTAGGAAGAAAGGGTTGTAGAATAAGTTTGAAAAAGAGAAAATTCAGTCTCCAGGATGTTCCAAGGACTATCCCAGGGGAAGATGTTAACGAAATGGGGCAAAGAGATGCACTTACCTTGGCCTGATGCTTTAGGTACTCTGCTCAAGAGAAGAAGAAGCTGGCATCTGAGCTGGATTTGTACTCCTTTGCAATGAGCTCTGGATGCAGGCCTTGTGAAGGAGGAGAACTGGGTTTTAGTATTGCTGATGGGCTCAACTGGACAATTAGACCTGGGAGGAGAAAAGATGTTCATGCTCTCTGGGGTGGCCTTGCCTAGATTAGACAGGAAGGGAAGGACCCTGTCAGGCTCGGAGAGCACAGAGACATGGCAGCTGCAGTTTGCAATGGCTGAAGGGACCAGACAGCACCTTGGTTGGTAGAAAGCAGTTGAGCACGGCATGCTGGGAGAGGATGTTGCAGCGCTGTATGGGACAAGGGCTGGCATGGTAGGAGGGAGAAGTTACTAGAGACTGTGAGTCAAGGAGGAAACTGTGCACCCGTGGTAAAATGTTCCTGAGCCCTTATAGCTGAGAAAAGAGGTTCATGCTCCCTGGTTGCAGCGGTTATGTGCATTCAGTACCTGGCATCCTTGGGTCAGTTGTTTGCATAAAGCTTTATTGCCTGAAGACCCAAAGGGAAGACTATATCTGGTTTCTTCTTCCTCATGCACCTCTCTGGTCCTCTGGTCTGTGCAGCTCTCCTCCAGTCACAGGGAAGTGAAACAAGAAGGTGATTTGAAGCTGAAAAGGTGAAAATAGAAGTGTGCAACAGCGCATCCAGTAGAAGGAGGCCTTAGCAGTTGGCAGGAGTCATGCCACAAGGAACTGTTTCATGGCCTCATCTGTCCCAGTGGTACAAGTGGTGGATACTCCTGCTGCCTTCCTTGTACAGCCATCCTCTGTGCCTTCTTCAGTGCAGTTGGTGGATGTTGGATGTAAAGATTAAGGATGTCAGGATGGCCCTCAGGCCAGCTCATCTCTGCAAACCACACTTTAGCTTTTCTTCCTCTGTCTTGTGCCCTCTAGTGTTGCCAGCAAGTATAACATGGTGATTCCCAGACTTGGAAGCCTCCAACTCACTGAACACTGAACTAAATGCAACTCCACTGGGATGACTTTGACCCTTTGGATGAACTTGAAAAGATCCTTCAGAAGGAGATAGCCAAAAAAAATCTGCCCATTTTATTCCTAGACTGGGGATAATACGGACTTCTCCCTTACTCTGTACCCAGAAGGCTAGAAGCAGCTCAGGGGAAGCTATGCCCAAAAACATAATATCATAATATGACACCTTTCAGTCATATCTCTTTCTTCTGCATGCATCTGGCATTCTACAGGATGTGAGAGGTCATACCTAAGGATCATAGCTATACTATGTTCATAAACTAGACCACGTTACCTGTCTGCTGGTTATACATCATCTTGCCTTATACAAAGGACAACGGATCCCTAGTTTTGTAGAGACATCAGAAGCTGCTATGACTGTGAGAAGAGCTCCGTAGTCATTCGGGGCTGGGACAGGTAACTGGGGCATATGTCTTGGATATGTCTTGCTCAGCTTTGCGTGTGATGGATCCTTGCCTTGGCACATGGCTACATGAGCAGACTCTTCCAGGACCTGGTGATCATTGCAAGTAATGGAAGCTGGATTCATAGCAAATCCTAATTACTGGAGATGGAGAACTTGGTTTAGGTGTAGATGAACGGTGTCACTTTTACTGGCAGCACTTCTTCAGCATCCCAAAATGACTCTTCTCTGTTGACCTGGGCTTTTTCTGAAGAAAAAGTCTTCCGTGTTGGATACCAGCAACCCCTGTCCTTAGGCTGGGCTTGTACTCCTGACCTCCCTAAGCTCTCAGAATGAGCTCTGCAGTATTGTCCATCTTTCTGCACTGAGATCTTTTCCAGGCTTCCGGGATTCCCTTAAGTCTCTGGCCCTTCTGTTATTGCCCAACTCTTGGCTTGCTGAGACCCAAATCCATATAAATTTATAGGAAATAAAAAGTATGAAGCTATGGCCAGGTTGTCAAGAGGCCTGGAAATAAGGCTGGTGATGGATAGCCTGGACTCAGAGTATGAGGGGTGTGGAAAGGTGCCTCTAAATGAAGGTGGAGCATGAGGATGGTGATTATCCATGAGGATTATGGAGGATTATCCCAGCCCATCCCTCTGCAGTTCCTGTTGTGTACTAGTTAGTTGGTGAGAACCTATTTCTTAGGCAGTTGACTCCATTGGTGCAGGAGTCCTGGTGGTTAGTATGGTTTACAGTTACAGTTCTGCGTGCCTTTGGGGCAGAAGTATCTGGTTTCAGAGGTTTGTGCATGGTATTCTGCACATTTCCTCCCCACAGCCCTAAGAACCTAGGGAGGAATAACCCCATGCAGCAGGACAGGCTTCGGGTTGACCTGCTGGAAGGCAGCTCTGCAGAGAAGGAGCTGGGAGTGCTGGAGGACAACAAGTGAAGCATGAGGCAGCAATGTGGCCTTGTGGCCGAGAAGGCCAAGGGGATCCTGGGGTGCCTGAGGAAGAGTGTTGCCAGCAGGTGGAGGGCGGTGCTCCTCCCCATCTCCTCAGCCCTGGTGTGGCCACATGTGGAGTAGTGGCTCCAATTCTGGGCTCCCCAGTACGAGAGAGAGAGAGACACGACACTACTGGAGTGAGTTCAGTGAAGGGCTACAAAGAGGATGGGGGGGAGGGGGGGACTGGAGCATCTCTCCTCTGCAGACAGGCTGTGCGAGCTGGGCCTGATGAGCCTGGAGAAGAGACGACTGAGCGGCGATCTCATCAACGTGTCCAAGTATCTGGAGGGAGGCTGTCGCGAGGATGGGGGGCCAGGCTCGTCTCCGTGGTGGCCAGTGACAGGACAAGAGGCAACGGGCAGAAACTGGAAGCCAGGAAGTTCCATCTGGACCTGAGGACAAGCTTCTTTCCGGAGAGGGTGACTGAGCACTGGACCAGGTTGCCCAGAGAGGTAGTGGAGTCTCCTTCGCTGGAGCTATTCAAAACCCGCCTGGAGGCGATCCTGGGAAATAGCCTGTAGAGGACCCTGCTTGAGCAGGGGGATTGGACTAGATGAGCTGCAGAGGGCCCTTCCAACACTGGCTATTCTGTGTTTCTCTGATTCTGTGACTTAGTTTACTTTTTGGCAAGTTTTCATCCAAGAAGCACTGTTTTGTCTGGCAATGCTGTGCTGCCACAAAGCTGATGCTATAAGACAGGGAAGGAAAAAGGATCCCCACTGAAAATCCACTTTTAACAAGGAATATGGTGTCAGGAGATGGAGAGGAAAGCACAGCCATGTTTGTCTTGTAAAGAGCAGACTTTGGCAGGGTACTGGGCTGCTGAAACCTGATGGAATTTGCAGAGGCTCTGGATGCAGCAGATATGAATGGGCAGACAAGATATCTACCTGCCGGGATAACCCGCTGCCAAATATCACCACAGAGGCAGAGCATGTTGTTGATGTTAGGGTGAAGGGAGCCTTTGTCTAGAGTGCAGGTAACCATTGTGCCAGCCAGTCCACAAAGCCTCCATCTCCCTCCCTGTCTCTGCTGTGACTTTTGGTTGCAGTGGCCACAGCTTAGTCTAATTGGTACCTGGGTCTCAACTTTCTGAATGCATTTGGTCTCCATGTTGCCAGAGAAGAACTGGTGTCAGAGGCAGGCAGGCCCTTTACTTGTGCACCAGGATGGCTAAAGATCTATCCTGGCCTGAAGATCTGTGAGTCTTCAGCTTTCCCCTGCAGGAGGAGGTACATGGTGGAGGGGCTGGAAAAAACAAAAAGGAAAATAAGTTCAAATTAATTCACAAAAAGGTGCTTTGGAAAGGGCTAAAGAATCCAGCTGCCTAGAGTCTGAACTAGCTGAAGGTAAAAGAAGAAAGTAGGAGCTAAAAGTAGGAGTTAACCAGCTTCCTTCCCTGTGTCCATGCTGCCACTGCACACTTTGAAAGCTGATTGATTGTCAGTCCTGCTCTCCCTGAGCTATGGGGTGTGCTGGATAAGGACACTGAGATTTCCCACTTTTATTTCATTCCATTTGTCAGTTGGCCAAATCCTGCTCTTGGTGACACTGGAGTAAAAACTTGGTGATACCACTTGCAGCTGTGGTGCTCAGGTTTGTACAGGTTGTAAGGCAGTGCAGCAACCAGCTCGCAGTCTTCCCAGCTTTCATTTCGTGCGTCAGAACCCAGGCTTCCCCAGAGCATCCTATTTTCTCATAGTGAAGCAAGTGGTCTTTCTCTGGGGAACAGATACATTTCTGATTGGCTTCTTTTAACTGGTTATGAGCTACTGAGCAAAGAGGAAAGTCCTGTTGGCAGGTCAACAAAATGTCTGTCCCTGCAAATCAGATCAAGAGAAGACCTATGGGGAGGGGTTCGGAGTGACAGCAACAGCAGTCCCTAGCTTGTCAGCAAGAGGCACTTGGGGTGATGGGGATCTGCTGTGGGCGCAGCTGAGGTTTTGTTTTAGAGTCTGGAAGGTACTTTGATCAAACTGGACCTATCAGCTGTGTTAGAAGTTAGTTTAAAATGACCTTCCCTTTTCTTTCTCAATCACTCTGCAGCACTTTACCTGACTCTCCCCCGGATTCTGGATCAGAAGCCTACTCCCCTCAGCAGGTGAATGGTAAGTGCTTATAAGAGAGAGAGGGAGGAAAAAAATCAAAAAACAAAACTCAACATCCTCCCCCTCTTTGTTCTGTGAAAGTGGTTGGCTCTGAAATCTTTATCAGACGGGAGAAAACAGGCGGCTGCAATACGTGGGGAGATTATCAGTTAGTAAATATCCCTAGACTTTCGCCTATTGTTCTACTGCTAGTCTTTGCAAGGGGGGAGAGCGAACAAGAGAGGGAACGGGAGAGAAGGCGAGGTGTGAATCCATTTACACTGTGAGCGATCGGCAGTGTGGCTTGTCCCCAAGCAGGGTGGGATGTGGAGCCTGCAAGGCTCCTTGTCCTGCCCTCTGCCTCGGGTGAGTGAAAGGCTAGGAGTGCAAGCACGTCCGAAATGAAGCTCAGCTCGGGGAGACAGAAATGAACTCGTCGTTCACCAGTAAGTTCCTTCTGAGCCCTTCCCTCCCTTTCAGTGAGGCCAGCTAATCCTGGGGGGTCTTCTGCCCCTGTTACAAAGGGCAGGGGGAGCTGGGCCCCTCCCATTCATAGACAGGGTTGCTGCTAGGCCCTCCTGACTCCCCGTGGGGAAGGGGAAGCCACTGGGTGTTATTTCTGACCTTTACCATCCTTTGACGGAGGAAACTTCTTGTTGAGGAAGGAAGGTTGCTCCTGATCTCCCCTCCCCCTCCCCAACAGCACCCTCTTCCCCAGGCTCCAACCCGGTCCCCACCAGGAACAGTGCCTGCTCTTTTTTTTGATGGAAGAGGTCAAGAGTTCTGTTTATCTTACAAAAAAAATCCCTGGAATTCCTCCTGCCCCTTCCTTAAATATAACAAAGAGGCCGGGTTGTTCACCACGGGGAGAACTGCTTTGACATACTGGCAGAACAGCGGCACTGCTGCTTTGGGAGAACAGGAGAAAGAGGCTCTGGAGAGTACGCACAGAGCAGCTCATTCCTCATGAGGGAAGGATCGCATTCTTGGATCTAGTTTTTCCGTGGATCTGGCACTACTGAGAACGCAGAGCATGGGTCCTGCATTTGAAAAATTAGAAGCACATGGAACTTGCTTATGATACCCTATGGAGACAGTGAAGATTGTGTCCAGAGTATCTGCTCGTCTAGTATCCTGATGGAAGAGCATGTTCTCTGAAACTTCTGTATGAGTTGTCCCTTGAAAGCAGAACAAGGTGTCCCAGCTTGTATGCAATCTACCAGTGCCATATCTGGCTGTACTGCAAGGACAGGGCATTTACTAAGGACATTCTAAAGAACCATCTCTTACAGTGTTTCACAGAGGAGGACATGAGGGTCCTCTTCTGGCCCTGAAGCAGCTGTCTGTCTCTAAGGACGTGGCCCCCTTAAAGAGTAATTTAGAGAATATTAGAAGCTTTCTCAGCCAGCTGGGCTGAACAGTGCTGAGACTGCTTGGTCAGTTGTGTTGCTGAGCTGTGCTAGTCTTTGCCCAAGGTTATGCTGATGGAAACTGAGTACTTGTCAGGACTGCAGGGGCCCCACTGTGCAGGACAGCAGGAACAGAGCTGGGCAAGGTGCATGTAGTGCTCAGTACCATCACAACATGACTGAAAAGCAGAGAGAGACTGTATGCTAGGGTTGTCACCTGTCAGCCCCACCCACTGCATTAAAGCAAGACTGGTCTGTCTTTGCTCCTGAAGTCATCATTTCTGAGGTTCTTTCCCCGTTCTCCCTGAATAGTTGCAGCATGGCCTGTAGGAGCCTCAGCCCTGGTTTGGAGCTTGTTCTTTGGGAGATAGGTTAGTTCACAACTCTCTGGTCTTCCAGAAAAATGAGGCAGTGCTGAAGGTGGTTTGATCTAGTTCTGGCTGCTAATTCTCACTCCCAGCAAGCTCTGTACCCCATGGCTGCTGGAACAAACCAACCCCTTCCTTTCCAGCGAGCCTGTGTGCAGTTCCTGATGTGGCTCCTCCTGCCCCAGTCTGCCAGGCTCAGACCATAGATCCTTGCTTGCTGTGGGTAGAGGGACTAACCCCTGACAGCTCCTG